CAGACCTGGATCTAATGGAGAATCCGTGGAAAGAACCGAAAACTGCTGTTTACAAATACTCACCATCCAACCTTACTGAGCTCAAGCAGCAAGGAAAAATAGGCAAAACTTTCAGTCTCACACCCTAGGGTCTCTTGATGTGCAAAACTGATAGAGACATACCCCAAGCGACTTGCAGCTGTAACTGCAGCAAAAGTCTGAAAAGAGCTGAATTATTCTGGACGCCCAATTTATCAGTTTTTTATCTAATGCAATAAATTTCATTCCACTTCATTATTTTGTCCCATTTGTTGTTGATTCATCCCAAAACAATACAGTTTTATATCTTTAAGTTTGAAGCCTGAAATGTTGAAAAAGGTTGAAAAGTTCAAGGGGGCGGGATACTTTCGCAAATACTTAGAAACATCTGTCCGGACTGAATTGTGCCAAGCAGGATTTGGCCTTTTACTCTACATCCTCATTTTTCATTACACATGAGAAGATTAAGCCAAAATCACTCTGTCTTTAATCGTAAGATTTTTAAAAAAAGGAAAATTTAAGCCATTTTGGAATTGTGAAATGAATAACTGGTCGTTTTTATTTTGTTACCCATCTCGGATCTCAGAGAAAAAAAACTAAATTGGTCTGTTTTTTGTATTTGGAAATTAGGAAACCGTTTGTTTTCCAATTTTGGATTTTTTTATTACAAAACCAAAATCAAAAGGCCAGCATGTACACAGACCAAAAATAGGATCACTCTTTTGAGTTTTCATCAGATATCTAGCTGCAGCATTTTGGATGGCTTTTAACTACAGTCTGGTGGTAAAGAATTACAATAGTCCAGCCCTAAAGTAACAAATCCATGGACTAGTTTCTTAACAGCACCCCTGGACAAGATATTTCTAATTTTTGCAATGTTTTGCTGATGATAGAAGGAAATTCTAGAAACATACTTGATATGTGATATAAACAACAATGATTTATAGAGAATTGTAACTAAGTACCATCTGCAAAACAATGGAAATTAATACGTATGCCGTCTAATATTTCTACCAAATGGGAGCATATACACTGCTCAAAAAATAAAGAATACACTCAAATAACACATCGCAGATCTAAATGAATTAAATATTTTTATTGAATACTAAGAGTTGAATGTGCTGAAAAAAAATCACACAAGGATCATCAATGGAAATCAAATGTATTAACCAATGGAGGTGATTTGGAGTCAGACATTAAATTAATTTGGGTAAACGTACAACAGGCTGATCCAACAATGATATAATCTTCTTAAAGCAAGTCAAAATGAGGCTCAGTATTGTACGTTGTTAGGATTTCAGTTTGTGTGGGTTGTTTTTGTGTTTTTCTCTCTCCCCCACCAGGTGGTGCCCTGTTCTCGTTGGGACTCCCTGCACACCTGCGGCTCGTTGGGTCATTACCGGAGGAGTACTTGAGCAGCGGGCTGTCACTGCCTCAACAGCAGAGTGTTTGCCAGTTTTGGGTACTCTAGTCAAGCTGAGATTAGCAGAGTCTAAACCTTAGCATAGTTTCTCTGAGTCTGATCTTGTTTTTGTCTTTGCTCTTTGGCAGGAAGCCTTCCTGTGTAACTGGATAGCCTGGACCTTCTCCCCATGGAAGAATTTACTGAGTTCACACTGAGCAGTGGAAAATCTCCACATGATCCGTTGAAGTCCTCATCTGGAAAACCAAGTGACAGTCCGCTCCTTTACTCCTCTGGGTCCAACGTATGTCTGCCTGTCCGCTCTCCAACGAGTTCCCTCTTCTCTGGATTAAACTCCCACAAACTGGATGCAAAGATTAACAAAGAGCCCCCCAAACGTGAGTTTTTCTCCAGCATATTCAAGCCTCAGTCAACTGATCACTGTGATCCCCCCTTCAGACTTTCCGGCTCCGGTTCACCAGTCCGCTGAGTTCCAGCTTCTTCTTCAGTGTTTTTCTACATTCAATAAACCTGTTAAACTTTTTCCCTTGGCCTCTGAGTGGTTATCTGCATGTGGTCAGATCACTAAAACCAAATACGACATACGTGACATCCACATGCTCCTGAGGAGTTGGTGGATGGTCTCCTGAGGGATCTCCTCCCAGACCTGGACTATAGCATCCGCCAACTCCTGGACAGTCTGCGGTGCAATTTGACGTTGGTGAACTGGAATGAGACATGATTTCCCAGATGTGCTCAATAGGATTCATGTCTGGGGAATGGGCGGTCCAGTCTGTAGCTTCAATGCCTTCACCTTGCAGGAACTGGTGACACATTCCAGCCACATGAGGTCTAGCATTGTCTTGCATTAGAAGAAACCAGGGTTCACTGCACTGGCATATGGTCTCACAAGGGGTCACAGGATCTCATGTCGGTACCTAATGGCAGTCATGCTAACTGTGGTGAGCACAGGGAGGACTGTGCAGCCCTCAAAAGGAATGCTGGTCCACACCATTACGGACCCACTGCCAAACCGGTCATGCTGAAGGATGTTGTAGGAAGCAGATCAATCTCCACATTGTCTCCAGACTCTCTCAGATCTGTCACATGTGGTCAGTGTAAACCTGCTTTCATCTATGAAGCGCACAGGGCGTCAGTTGCGAATTTGCCAATCCTGGTGTTCTCTGACAAATGCCATGCATCCTGCACAGTGTTGGGCTGTGAGCAAAACCCCCATTTGTGAACATCAGGCCCTCATACCATCTTCATAGAATTGGTTTCTAACTGTTCCATAAAGTTAAAAAACAAACCACTGGACTTTGTTTTCCAAGTTTTAAGATATTCCATCCAGGAAGATTTTACAATTCAAAATGTCTGAATTAGCTTTGAGTTCTTTGTGCTTTATAGAGTAGCCCAACAAAGCAACAAAGCACATTGAAACGTCTTCAAACTTGGAAAACAAAGTTTTAGAACTTTTTGGAATGACTATGAACAGGATGACTGAAAATTTTCAACAGCATACAAACACAGTTCAGATTCTATGACTACCTCAGATGCTGGCTCACCTTCAGGGATAAACCAATCATAGTTAGAGGGATGGACGGTTCAACAGAGCTATGGCTCTAGGTGAGTTTGGCAACTGTATTAAAAATAAATCTAGGATTAATATTATTCTCCTCTAACAATGAGGATAAATATGCTCATGTTGCTTTATGAAGGACTTTTTAAACAGCAGTAAACCACTTTTCCAGACTAGGTAGGATTCCAGTTGGCATGTAGAGCGCCATTTCCTCTCCAGTTTCTTAGCATTTTGCTTCAAAGTGAGCTGCTCTGCCTTAAACCAGGAAACTAGCTCATGCTGTAATACCACTGGATGCAAACATTCAGTGTCATATGTTCATTATTTACTGTGACGCCTACAAACTGGTTATACAAGAATGTTTCACAGCTTGGATTTAGTTTCATTTTAAATTAAGCTTATTTTCTTGAAGGACTACTTTGAATATGTTTTTGAAAGTAAATTATGCTATTAATTGTTCTCAGCATCTTTTATTTCCTTTATTATTTTGGATTCCAAAATGCCACCTCTACAAGACCCTGCAGTAGATTTATGCTCTCACTGATTTATAAATTTAATCATAAGGTTGATATACTGTAGAAACCGTAAATCAGCTGGTCAGCAAAAATTAATCTCTACCAGCTGGAAAACTTGATCAGTCCATGTAAGGTTTGCATTACAGATGCAGAAACATTTCAAAGCAGAGAGGCAAGGATTCCATTCTTCAATCACAGCAGAAAAACAAACACACAGAGAAGAATACACACCCACATTTAAACAACCCAGCTTTCTGAATTATCAGCCTGTACCATCTCTAAGGGGTGGAAACTTTAACATTTACACGTTTGTGCAGAAGTGAACTAAATTAAACCTCTAGAGGAAAAACAATTAATAAATAACACACATTTACAATTAACTTAAATAAATTGAAGCTAAACAATACTCCAAGTCAAAACAAAACACAAAACATCTCCCCTCCTTCTCAGTTAGTATGGATTTCCCTTACAGGGGTAAATCCCTCACAGTCCAAAAAAGATTTTAACTAATCAAAACACCCAGAAGCATTTTTTATATTACATCCACAATGCTTTGTAATCTGGTGCATTCTAGTTTTCCCTCCTCTTAAGCTTTCCAGCAGTTTTTTGTAAATAGTATTTTTGTTTTGTAAAAATATACATGCACACTTTGTGTACTTTTTAAAATAAATTCTGAATGTCTTATCAAAAGTAATGTTTTAATAGAGAAATGTAGTGTGTATGGTTCCTCCATACAGATAAAAATATTCAGTAGTTCTTAAAAATATGCATGGTAATGGAAATTTAGATGAAAGGAAAATGTTTGAAGAGGGTTTGGAGCTGTGGAAATAAGAAACCACAGTCTAAAGTAAAACTCATCCAGGGGTTTCCAAAGGTCTGAACTGCAGGTAGAGTCACATTCCAGGTGTTAAACCTTTATGAACAGCTTTCAACCCTCACCAAACATGACTCCACCCTCTGAAAATCCTGCTGCAATGTTCTGTGGATAGTTTTCTTTTCTTTCAGACATTCCCAACTTATTGTAGCTTTTGAATGTAATCCTCCACTCTATTCTCCCTGACTAACTATGATGGGTTAGCAGACACCCTCTAGATTGGTTTGAATCATACCTCTCTGATCTACACAATTATCTCAGTTAAAATCTCCCAGATCCCAGCCATCTCATTATCTCCCATTGTTACCCATGGATGTGTCTAATCTAATTTTAATAATCTAATCCTAATCTCGATCATACATTTCCCTCCTACATCTGGTCATGTGCTTTTTACAATCAGCATCACGTTCCACTGTAATACTGACAATATCCAGCTCTACATCTCCACACAATTCCCTTAGTGACAAATTTTTATTTTACTTTTTTACACCAAGCGTTATAAATCTTTAAAACTTTTTATGAATCAGACATACTGTTGAGTTGATATAAAAAACCTTTATTGAAGCAGCTGCTCAATATTTACAAAGATGTTTTACTGTGTAAACAAATGATGCATTTTAATGAATAATCTAACAGACAGAAGTCAAATGTAGCCCAGGAGTCATTAAGTTCAAACTTAGAGGTTTGCTTCTTTATTAAAGGGTGGATATTGTAAAAATAATAGTGACATATCTTCAGAGACTTGTTTTATTATTCCTGAGTTTCAATCTCACACTCTTTATTATGTTTGAATCTAGTTTTGTTTGCCTGTAGCTGATTGGCTGCAGCACAGATCCGGTTTGGACTCAGCAGCTACTAGAACATCACAGACTCTTCAGAGATAAATTCACTCCTGCTGGATCAGAACATTGAAACCAAAGAGGAGGAGGAAATCATCCCTGGATTAAGAGTTTAATGGAACACAAAGACTACATTTCCCACAATCCTCAGCTCTTCTGAAAAGTCTTCAGCTTCCTTCTGGCATCTTTATGCTTCTTGCGGTACTCCTAAAGAAACAGATAAAAACAGATGTGTTTAGTTCTTTACTCTGCCTCACCAGACAGACATGTTTTCTGTAATTATGGTAGAAGAACCATTGGAACTTATTCCTGTATATCTAGGAAACAGAAGAGTCTACCAGCATAAAAGAGATTTTGAAGAAAAACAATGTAAATTCCTCCTGATTTTTGTTTTCTGCTTCTAATCCTCTCAGATTAAACTTTTGCAGAAGTTTGTGAAGATCTTTCTGCAGATTATTGATTTAAGGATGTGCTGCTTGAACAAAACAGTGCAGACATTTATACTCCCACTAGGGAGCAACAAAGTAGACTTTAAAACAGCATTTTCAGTCTGACTTAGGAACCAAAGTGATTCCATTCACTCTGTTTAGTTCAAAGAATCATTGTTGGAGCTGATGGAAATGATACAGACCTGTTTGAGCGTAATCGTCCTCTCCTCCCACTGCTCCCTCTGCTGCTCCAGCTGGGAGGTTCGACAGAACAACCTGAGTCCCTCTGAAGGAGGAAACAAATGAGAGGTTAAAACAATTAGCCAGACTTTAACTGAACCAACAGGGAAATCATTATGTGTTATGTTCAGAACTTAAAAAGAAGCACCAGCACCACAAAGTGCCATAAAACCCCCCACCTTTCAGTCTGTGGTCATCAGAAGAGAAGAAGAAGAAGAAATCAGGCTTTGAAGGAGCCTCCACTCTGTGAGAGAAACAAAAACAAAAGGTAGAAAGTTTATCTTAAATAAAATCGATGATGTTTTTTTGTCCAAAAGCTTGTCAGTGCAGAGAGTTTCCTTCAGGAGGACAAAATATCTAAACAAATAAATTTTTTGATCCATCAAGAAATGCCACATTTAAAGTATTTTAAGAGACTCAGAAATCAGAGAAAAGATCCTGGTCTGTTAAAAAAAACCTAAAAATCAAAAATAACAAATGGATTTGGTTAAAAATAGTTTTAATCTCAACTTAATCTGGAGCCTGTTTAGCTAGAGAGGATCTCAAATGTTCAGGTGATTAAACTCTTTAGCACCCCCTAGTGCACAGCCTGATGCACAAACACACCGGTTTGGTGCGGCTTTTTCATCTCTGATAGGATTTTTTTCCATGTCACACTGACTGCATATAGAGAGGCTCTGACTAGGCAGGGTGAGCAGATCTGTGCAGATATTTTTTACCTCCGTCTCTGCTATAAACAAATGAAAATCATTTACCCCATTTAACGGGGACAGATTATGAAAAGTAACAAACAAACAAAAAAAAAACAACCGGTGCAGCAATAGGCTGAAGCAGAGCCTATAGCTTATAGCAAATCTTTATACGCCTTTATTAAAAACATAAAGAGATCTACGCCTAAAGAAAAGAAAAACCCAGCAATTAACGTCGTGGGATGGTTTCTATGCTGATTCAGGCAGAGAGGTGATTCTCAGAGAGATCTGGGAAGTTTATCCAAGTTTTGCTTTTCTTTTTTCATAGAGGTGAGAGCAATATGACGTGCTTAATAACCTGCTCCACTTTATTTTGTTTTTTTGTGAGGCTCAACAGGATCATTACTTTACTATATCCAGTTTTTCTGCTCCTTAAGTTTTTTTTTCTTCCTCGAGGAGATTGAAAAACTGGACTTTGTCTCGTTGTGAGGCTCAAAGAGGATCACTACTTATCACAGAACTAAACTTGTACAAGCATCAAAAATGAAGCAGCTCCCTTATTTTTGATTCTCCTGCTGCTTGCAGTCTGAGCGTATCATTAGAAATGCATCCCTGTAGTTGATGCAGCTGATAAGATTTTTACAAATTGTTGTGTGAAAAGTTTGATTCATCCAAAGGATCTTTCTTTTAATAAACCTGATTTTATGCTTTCAATTAAATATCAGTCTAAAGGAAAGCCATAAACATCTACAGACCTCTAAATAACTAAAGTTATTCAATATTTACTGATGCATTTATTTGTGCATCAGCAGCAAACTGTTCTGACTTCGTCATCAACTATGATATTTATTTACTAAAAGTCTAACTATCTTGTTTCCTCTGCTGGAATTTTATCATAAATTGGATTAAATTAAAAACCTGATAAAACAAACTGCAGCAGTTTTAAGATGAACTCGGATCTTTTCCTCACTCTGTGTTTTTAGCCTCAGAGCTGCTTTGCTTCTGCTCTTCCTCCTCTTCTTCCTGCTCCTCCTCCTCAGAGCTGCTGTCATGGAAACGTGGGTCTTGATGCCAGGAGACCTTGGGAGCCTGGATCTTCTCAGCTTTGTACTCGGCTGTTGAAGAGATTAAAGGGATCAATAGAAATATGCTCCATACGTTGGTCTGATTAACGGATTTGTTGAGACTCACTCGTTTCTCCGCTTCCATCCTCTGATTCGTCTCCAAAGAAGGAAAACCTGAATCCAGTGGATTCCTCAGACTTGGTGCTGGGATCAGCTGACAGGAGGGAGGACAGCGCCTGTTCTTCCTCTTCTCCTCCCTCTTCATCCTCCAGCTGATCCCAGTTTCTCTCCTCCTCTCCCTCAGCAGAGCCGTCGTTGGTCTGTCCGAACACGGCCTTCAGGTCTCCAGTCACCTCGAAGTAAATCTCTTTGGAGACTTCAGGAAGCTTCTGAGCCTCTTCCCTCTTCTTCCTGCGAGCCGCCTTACTGCAAACAGAACAAGAAATCCACAGGAAGCTGATGGGAAACCTCTGATTGGATCTCTGGCATTTGCATAGTTGAACCTTCTCTCATAGACAGATATATTTAAATTAAAAATCTGCTGCTAAACTGAGCTAAACTTTGAGTGAAAAAGTGTCTGCAGACTGATGGGGGTGGCCAGGAAGTGGTCGGTTTCAGCTTCAACAGGAATTAGACTCAGCCATGGAGGAAGGAGCAGGTTTGAACTGAGGATGGAGGTCGTTTCTTTACCTCTCCTTCTGGGTTTCATCTGTTTTGGTCTCAAACGCAGCGTGTTCCTCTTTGCTCGGGTCGTAATGCAACGCAGACACGTCTCTGCAGAAGAAAAAGAAAGACTTTAGTTTCAGAAAAGTTAACAGCTGCTCAACTTCTGACTTCCAGACCCACCTGAACTTCTTGGCTTTTCCGGACGTCTTGCTGCTGCTTTGATGGCTGCTTCCAAGGACGCTCTGCAGGATGGACAGATTCTTCTTCTTCTCCTCTTCTAGAGCCTCATCGTCGTCCATCAGACTCTTCTGTGCTTCTAAATAAACAATTAAAAACCCATGAATGTTTTGTTTTGGTACATAGAGATCTGCAGGAAGTGATGTCATCAAGGATCTCCTAAGAAGGACACAGCTTTACTGCTGACTGGACAGAAACTTTCAGGGCTTCATGTTGGAAAAGGTTCTCATTTCTTCTGCTGGAGGGGGATGAGTGGATCTGCTTCACTGCAGCCTGAAGTGACCAAATCCGATTTTTTTGGCCCCTATGCGACCTGGATCTGATCTTTTCATGGCAGTCTGAACAACTCAGATCACATTTTTTCCAATGCGACCCAGGCCGCTTGGCCATGTGGTCCTGAATTCGATACACATCTGATCTTTCCATCCGACCTGAATGTCATTAATACCCGACAAAGTCATTATTTTGCATCTTGCTATGCAGAAGCTGCAAGAAAAACAACAACCACAGCGGATGATGATGCGGTGAGCAGTATTTATGTTTAACCATATTGAAAAGATTGTGTTTTTATGGTTGGGAAAATTGCTAAATGCGCTCCAGCGCTACCACCCATGTTTACTTCTGTAAACACAAAGCACGCTTGGTTGTGACATCACTGCGTTCTCTACTGCGCATGCGGGACACTTAGGTTGTATAAATGCAGTTCAAACAAGAGATCACATACAAGTCGCATATATTTGGAAATGTGAACTGCAACGCAAAAAAAATGTATTTCACAAAAAAATCGGAATTGAGGATCAAGGCCTGCAGTGTGAACGTAGCCAAAAGTTGAAAATGCTGGTAAAGATTCTGAGTTATTCTAAGTTAAAAACAAACCACTTGACGTTGTTTCCAAGTTTGAAGACGTTTCTCTTCTCATCCAGGAAGCTTTTTCAATTCAAAATGTCATTATTGTGTCCTCTACTGCGCATGCGGGAAACTTGCGTTGTATGAATGGCGCTAGTGCCTCTAACATTACTCAGCTCCAGAGAGTGCAAAACGCTGCAGCTCGTCTTTTATCTCTCACTCAAATATGAGTGCGTTACCCCAATGTTAGCCTCATTACACTGGCTCCCTGTACATTTTAGGATTCATTTTAAAGTTTGTTTATTTATTTTTAAGTCTCTCCACGGTCTTGCTCCATCTTATCTTTTTCATGCATCCTTCCGTTCACTCAGGTCAGCCGATCAGCTGCTTCTTAAGGAGCCAAAAACTAAACGGAACATTAGGGGCCACCGTAGTTTTCTCTGTGGCAGCTCCAAAAATGTGGAACGACCTTCCATTGCAACTTAAATTGTCTACTTCTTTGTCTGATTTTAAATCGCTCTTAAAGAACTCATCTCTATTCTTTGGCTTTCTAAACTGTGTGAGATGTTGATTTTAGTCTGTGATACCAAATTTAAATCAATTTTATTATAGATGTTATACTTTTGATTTTTATTTAATCTTTTATGCTTGTATGTTTTTTTAAAAGTCTGTGTAATGGTGTTATGTTGTTTCACTGTACAGCACTTTGGTCCTTTGAGACATTTTAAAGTGCTTCATAAATAAAGTTGGATTAGATTGATTGCAGTTCACACAGGAGATCACATACAAGTTGCATATATATGGAAATGGCAACACAAAAAAAACCCAACGTATTTCACAAAAACAAAATCAGATTTTAGCCTTAAGGCCTGCAGTGTGAGCGTAGCCTTAAACACAAATCTAATCTGAACCGTTTACCATTTATTTCATGTTCCTGCATGCACAGACCGTATCTGCCGGTCCTGACATGGAGTCTGTTATGATCTGACAGAGAAAAGTATCATGCCGGATTGGAAGTTTTATGTTTGTAACACCAGATATCTGTCCTGCTGAACTAGCAGCACAGATGTGTTTTATTCAGTTTATAGATGATGATATCCTAAATATCCAGCATTACTGAAACTCTACGCGTTTCCAGGAAGGTTTTAATGTTTTTTCCAGCTTTTTAAAATTAAAAAGAGAAAAATCTGCAAAATCTGCAACTAAAAGCAACTTTAGAGACTTCAGATGCTTTAAAAAAGTATATGAGCAAAGAAGTGATTAAATGAAAAAAATCAGCAGAAATTAGACCCTATTTTCTGATGTAAAGATGCAGCTAATAACTGCCAGAGATCATGAAGCAAAAGATGCTTTATCTTTGATTTATCAGCAGGAAAGAAACTAATTGGTTCTGTTTGGTTTGACCCGTTTGATCATTAATGAAACATCCTGCTTTTATCCTGACTTCATCTTTATCCTTTAACCTTCTCACCTGTCTGCTTTTCCTCCTCTTCATCCTCCTCTTCCTCCAGAAACCGGGAGTCCATCCGGAACCGTTCGTCTGTCCCAAAGCGAGACTGTAGCGCCATCAGCTGGATGAAAAACACACCATGGTTAGACTTTGAATCCCAGAGCTCTGCTGACAAAGAGCCTGGACCTTATAAAATAAAATATTCAAACTGACATTAAAACGTAAAAAACTGCATAACTGCACCACATATTTCAATGCGTTATTTTTAATTTTTTTGCACCAGGCTTTTTCTTCCACACTGTTTACATTTGATCACTGCTGCACTTTAAGAAATGGAAACGTCATGACAGCTGTACAAAACCAAATTTCGTTTGAACTCTGTGTGTAAAAAATGACAATAAAAGCCATAAGAGCAGAACTTTAACTCGACCCGACTGCAGCTTTGGACAGAACCGCAGCAGATTCTCCTCAGGTCCTCATCAATGACTGATTTACTGCTGTCCAAGAAAAGCTGTGATTAATCTCAACCTGAGGGCTCAGACCTTCTGTCCAGCTGGACCTTCAAACTCTGGCCGGATGTCAAATCTGCTGCAATCCTCTTCTTCATCCACTTCCTCATCATCGTCGCTGCCGGCAAACAGCTGCGGACCCGACAGCTTCTGGCGCTCCTGGAAACAGGCAGAGGTGAGTCGCTGCCCCACGAGGAGAACGGGAACCAGAGATAATCAAAGGACCGCAAACTCTCTGACATCATCACTCACCGCTCTCTGTGAGGCCATCTGATTGGCTGCTTCTCCGTCAGATGAGGCGTTGTCTTCTGATTGGCTGTCCTGGATAACGGACGTCTTATTTTCCTCCTCATCATCTGAGCTGAAGACGATGTGTTTCCCTGAGGTTGGAGGTGGAGCGTCCTGATGGAAAGCAGGAAACAAATCAGACAAGCAGGAAGGAAAAAAGCTCGACTGCTGCAAAGTGTTTACATCATCGTTCTTAGGTGGAGGCAGAGTCAAAACGATTTCTTCTGGGATTTTATCTTGTTTCAATGTTCAGAAACCTTAATGTTTAAACAAAAATTAACATGTAGAAAAGTTAAAAGAAGGGCCAGAATTCAAATGATGATTTTTCTTAATTTAAGGGGAGAAATCAATGTGAACCAACCTGGTCCAACATGAAACAGTATTTACCAATTTGTTAAATCACTAATTAAACTTAATTTCTTTAGTCTCAACAACGGCCAATTACTGCTAAACCTGTAGAAAGAAGAGATCAACCAATGAGAGCCTGTCTGACAACATGAAGTAGGCTTAAGGATCTCAAAAAGCAACTCAACAAATCCTGATCTGAAGTCATCCAAGAACAGATGAAAACGTCATCGTCACCCATCAGTCTGGAGAGAATCACAAACCGACTTCAAAGGCTTTAGGACATAAGAGATCTGCAATGAGAACCATGATCCACAAATAGAGGGAACATGAAGCACTCTAGAACCTTCCCAGGACTGACTGAGCTGCCAAAATTACTCCAGGAGCTGAAAGACTCATCCAGCAGGTCCAAGAAAAACACAGAAAAACAACTAAAGCTCTGCAGGCCTCACTGCCTCAGTTAAGGTCAAAATTCAGCAACCAGGCAAAACAAACTGGGACCAGAACCACTGCTGATCCAGAAGAACACAAAGACATGCCTCACACTGAAAAAACATCTTTA